CCTGCTTTTAGAACCACACCGATGGAGTGCATGCGTTGAGGGCCAAAAGCTCCAACTCCACGTCTAGTTAAAAGGATCTCAGGTAGCAGCTGTTAAGAAAAGAGATTTCTCTTCTGGAGATCCTAGAGAGCGGCCGCCGGACAGAGGCAGCTGCAGCAGGCCAGAGAAACTAACAGCCAGACTCTGCATAATGCAGAGGCTCTTCCAAGCTGCTTTGCCAATCGCAGAGTTCAGAAGAACTTGTAGTACAAGTTTTCTTTTTGCAGCTCAGTTAACTGTGCAGGGGAGGGGGACACAGCCTTTTTAATAATTTGATTTGTTTCTAATAAACTAATCTGGTCACATCTAAGACCACAGCTAACACTGCTCAACATGTAGAATGCCCCCCCCCCATCATTATTCAAGGGGTGCCAAATGTTGAAAATCCTTCAGCACCAGTAAAGAGGGATGCTCCCCTCGGCCTCAGGCAGACAGCAGATTTAGTCCCTCCCACCCAAGGCTTGCTCTATTGCTGGCTTTAAAATATATATATATAAACTGATTTTGTCATGATGCCTTTAACTGGATAGGGTACTGCCTCTGTCTTTTGAGACCAACATGGATGGAAAAACAAAAGGATGTTTTTTAAAAACAAAAAAAAATTGCATTGACTAACCTTCACAAATGCATAGCAGAATATTTGGGCATTCTACAGAATCCACACGGTAACTGAGAGCAGCAAGCAGCTTCACAAGGGTGGAGCCGCTGCTTCTGCTGCTCACAAGCAACTTGGGTAAGGCTGGATCTGCCTCCGGGAGCAGATTAGAGTATCCTCCTCCCCAAAGCCCCACCCGGGATGCTGCATCTAAAGACATTTACTCACAAGTAAGCCCTGGAGAGTTTAGCAAGCATTACTTCCTAAAAGAAATCAACCCTGACTGTTCCCTGGAAGGCCAGATAATGAAACTGAAGCTCAAATCCTTTGGCCACCAAATGAGAAGGGAGCCCTCCCTGGAGAAGACCCTGATGCTGGGAAAGATTGAAGGTCAAAGAAGAAGGGGACGGCAAAGGATGAGATGGTTAGTGTCATAGATGCAACAAACATGAAATTGAGCAAACTTCAGAGGACGGCGGAAGACAGGAAGGCCTGGCGTGATCTGGTCCATGGGGTCGCGAAGAGTCAGACTCGACTGTGCGACTGAACAACAACAATGTCCTGGCAAGCATGCCTGGGGGGGGGGGCAGGCAGGGCAGACAAAAAGCTGGCTCCCTACCCCCCCTTCCAGGCCCATGGGGCTGTGGTCCCTCTTTCTGTGGCAAAGATGCTCTCAGCCAGCGTGTTTGACCAGGCAGTTGCCATGACAACACTTCCATTCCATCCCTGGCTCTTTTCAGTCAAGGAACCAAAAGCGACAGAGCTCAGTGATCAAAAGGGGGGGGGGGACAGAAAGAATCATAGCTGGGGGGGTCATTCCCAACCCCCCATATCCTGTCACTGTGGAAGCAATTCCCCACAGCACCCCGCATGTACACTCCAATATCAAGAACTGCATGAAATGGCTGGGGGGGGGGGGGAGGGATGTCAGGAGCCCCCCCTCCCAATTTAATAAAGCATAATCATTGTTCGATAAATTTCAACACACTTTGCCTCTTCAAGGCTGCACACACGCACTCTCCTCCCTCCAACATCAAAACATTCCATCAAACCCACGTAAAGAAGCCTTTGTGTAAAAGCATCAGTCTCAGCAATCAAATCTGCATGTATTTACATGTGAAGAGAGAGAAAAACAGTTCCGGGGGTAGCCAGGTCCATTTTTGGACTAGGCCTAGCGCATGTTAGAAGAGATCTTCCCCTTCCTCCCACACAGGAAGGAGCTCCTCTTCTGATGGTAGCCCTCTGAAAATCAACTTTTGTCACACACAAAAATTAAATTCTCTCTGGCCTCTTCTTGGTACGGATTCTTTGGCATGAAGAGATCATTTACAGACTGGCAGATGTAACCTCCAAAGAGGAGGAGGGCGGTCTCTGCTTATGAGAGGATCCTGTCCTGAGCGGCCCTGGATCAGCATGGGAAGAGGAGTCGTCATCAGAGGATGACCTGGCCCTGAGACCCACACTGGCAGACACTCCCTGTCAGGTAGGCCCCAAAGTGAAGCAGAACCTCCTCCCAGAAGCAACCCTTCACCAGTACCGCCACCAGCCCCTGAGCCAGACGTCCCTCAAGAAAGGCGGCGTCTGTATGGGCAGACCCCCTTTCCTCAGGAAAGGAGAAGGCAAAGTTGGCAAAGTGCCAGGGCAGAGGCTTTGCGCGGGAGGGCAGGCCGGGCAGCAGCTCTTCCCTCGTAGAAGCAGAGGACTACCGTGATGAGTCTTTACAGGATCCCTCCTCAGGAGGAGGAAGGCTGGCTCAGCTAAGAGTACTGATCGGCAACTGGGAGGGAAACCGGCTGCTTAAGCTTGCTGTGAAACCAAAGGGCAGTGGAGGATCCTGCTTTGGAACTGTGTCCCTGAATCTGAGAACCTGTTGCCTGACCTTGGACTGGACTTGGACTCTGCTTATTGGATTCCCCCCCTGACTTGGACTGCCTGCTTGAGAGTGGGAACTTTCGGCCTGACGTCGGCCTGCGTTTTGGACTTTGTGTTCTTGGGACAGACCACGCTGCCTACTGGTTGGCAGGGCCGTGGGTCGAAGTGCTGGACCTAGACCTGCCCCGCCTGATAAGTGGAACAGATCAAGACACTGAGAAAGGGGAACGCAGTGGTTCCTATCCCATGGCTCTACTAGGGCTGGCATGCGTTCCTTCAGTGCGAGGGCCTTTCCCTAATAACACGGCATCAGTTAAAGTGATGCCGGTTTGGTGTAGTGGTTAAGTGCGGTGGACTCTAATCTGGAAAAACGGGTTCAGTTCCCCATTCTGCCACCTGAAGCCAGCTGGGTGACCTTGAGCCAGTCCCAGTTCTTTCAGAGCCCTCTCAGCCCCTAAACAAAGTCCAGCACGCCGCTTAGCATAACACTACGAGCTAGAACTTGCGGCTGCCAGACAATCTTCGGATCTCCTGGCTATTCTACACATAACGTTGTACGGTAATTAACTAATGAGTTAAAGTCTCCTTGACTCAGAGGAAAGCTGCCACTGCTGGACAGACAAGACAGAAAACACCACCAGACAGAAAAGCAAAACATTACACAACAGAGGGGACTTCTTGAGCTATTTAAGTCTTTAATGAGGGGTGTCACCCCCAGAAAAGGGTTCAACACAGTAAAGAGTTTACGAGAATGTGCAGTGTATGTGTGCGCGCGTGTACATACTCGCAACAGCATGGGTGTCTCTCTTCAGTGCACCAACAGACAGAACAACGCAACCTTTTTTTCCTACATTTTGGAGGTGGGGAGGGAGAATGGAGAAAGGGGATTCTGAATGGCCCCCCAGATGGTGAGCAGCATTGCTTCTTTGGACCTTGCTCGGCTGCTCTTTCAAAACTCGAGTTACAGATCTGCAGGACACAGGAAGGGCTAGAGGTGATGGCGACGGGGGAAAGAAACATTCGTCTCCCACTGCCCTGCCTGGCCCCCAAATTGGTTTTCTAAGAAAAAACACACAGTCGCACAAATATTGATACATGGTGCTGACCCCAGTTAGGTCCTATGAGGGAAGAGTAGGACGGGGGGGGGAAAGGGGAGAGCGGCCCCCATTCCTCACCCTGCCCAAGTGGGACATGCAAACATCTTGCGGCGCTGAGCCGATAAATAAAACCTTCCCTACAGATGAATAGTTTTGGTTTCTTTGTTTTTCTTTTTTTCTTTTCTTTTTTTTTTATAGAAAAAAATACAAAATAGACATTTAAGAGAGAGAGAAAAACCCACAATCTTTTTTTCTGCCCTTAGAAAATAAGGTTTAGTGTCACATTGCAGGATGGCCCTGAACGTTCCTTCAAATGTTGAAGTGAAAGGGGGGGGGAATAAAAAGCAAATGGTGGGGCGGGGGAGACGAGAAACAGGCTGCGGAGAGAGAAGACAGGGGGCGGGCTTGGCTAGCTCCATGTTTTACGGAGTCATCTTTGAGGACGAAGAGACATCGAAATAAGCACACTTCCACAAACAGCGAGTTTAAAAAAAAAGAGAGAGGTAGAAACTCCGGCGTGTGTTTGTTCAAAATGGGGGGGGGGGGGGAGGAGAGAAACATACCACAAATTCCTACCCAAAGAGCTTCAAGTTGCCGCACAGCATCCCAACAGCTGCCGCTTTGCCCCCTCCTGGGGAGGGGGGGGAGACTAAATCAGGCAGACAGCTGTGACCCTCCCTTAGGTGCCCCCCCCCCAACGCAGGGAGAGTGCTTGGCCTAATGAAAGATAAGCCTGCATGTAGCCCCTTCTCCTACTTTGTATGGGCATCTGTTTGGCCATGAAGGCCCTGCTCTGGAGTTGAAAAGGAGGGGAAGCAGGCTGTGCCATCCAAACTCATCCCCCGGAGAAAACGTACTTCTTCCACGGTGGGGGAGGACTCAAGAAGGCCGAGAGCAACAGTGAAGGAGCTTCTGGCCCATCATTAAAGGACCAGGCCTTCGAGGGAGGGAGGGGCGGCCTTTCACTGGGTACGCAAACAAAAAAAGAAAACTTTGTTGAAGGGAAAACCTCTTAAGAAATTGTACTCCTCTCGCCTCTGCAGTAGAAGCAATGGGGTCATTCATGGTGCGGCGACCCACACCCCAGACCTGTCTGGGGAAACAGTTCCATTCCAGCACTGGAAAGAACTGGCTGGTAGGGCGGGGAGGGGGGGAGACTTTGCTGGAGAGAAAGCAGCTATAGGTGGCACTCAAGGTCTTTGAAACCCTGTTTCCATACAGCCTCCTGAGCAGCCATCCTGGAATCGCCTCCGCTCCTCACCACGTAACAGTCAGTGGGCAACACGCACCTGGCCTCACAGCCTATTGATGGGGGGGGGGGGGCACAGGATGCCCAGAGCCAGAGTGTGGCCAAGCCAAAGAAGGCCCTGTAACAAGACCTGGCCCACTGATCCAGACTCGGCTGTAGCCACTGGAAAGGTAGGGGAGAGGAGGGGCGGAGCAAGAGAGTAGAGTGTGCCAGTGCCTCCAGTGGGGATGCTTGCCAAGGCAGGGAGATCGCTTGGCCCAGCTGCAGCTCCCCTTCCCCCTACTCTGCCACCTTCTTCCGTGTGCTTAAACCAGGGCTCGAGGCCTCTGGCGGTGGACATGCAAAAAACCAGACAGTGAATGCTATTTGCTGTGGGGACAACAACATGCCCCAGGAAAAGTCTCAGGCCAACTTCTTCCTAACACAGGAGGCAGAAAAGTCTCGTCTCCTGCTGCCAATGCCGGCCACCAGTGGGCAAAGGAGAGGAGCTCACACGGCCCCCATCACAGCCGCCGGCCCCATCCTTCAAAGCACCTCTCGGCTCCGAACTGGACGCAGCCCGCCAGCCCTTCAGAACTCCACCTTGCACGCTGGGAAGCTCTCGTCCTGCATGGCCACAGTGCTGGTGCTGCCCAGGACGGTGACACCCAGCTCCCGCTGGCGCTCCAGGGTCTCCAAGTACCATTCGTGCATGGCCTGGGAGTCAAAGGTCGGGATCAAGGTCACCTGGGAGGAGAGACAAGGGAGACAATCAGCAGGTGCACGCTCAACAGGGGCCCTTTCCCCATAAAGTGAACAAGAACCGGGAAAGATTCAGGGGCCTCCCCAGGGTAGTCCCTACACAAACTGCAGCCGCACAAAAAGCTTTGCTCACGCAGGGCCGGCGCCGCCCCGCCCCACACAGCGCTTCACGCTCAGGCCCCCCCCCCGCAGGCCCACCTGGGAGTCGCTTGCCCAATGCTGCTTCCCAGACAGCAGCGCGTCCAGGATGCCCCTCATGACGCCTTCTTTAATGTGGTCCTCGCCGCTGACGACGTAGCACTGGGATCGGATGAGCCGAAAGAAGTCCTCGCCCACCTGCTGGGCGCTTGTGGCACCGGGGATGTAGGCCAGCTCCAGGTAAACCGGGGGGCACGGAGGGGCAGACTTGGTGCCTAGAGAGAAGAGTAAGAATGGGGAGGGGGGGAGAAAGAACCATCTCTAGCCAAAGGACTGGAGTGGCCAGAGGATCAATCTGTTTCATGAAGCTGTTTGAGGGAGGAATTGGGGGGGGGGGGCAATCTGGGCCAGTCACTCACACTCTCCATCTAGCCGACCTCATAGGGTTGCAAGGATAAAAACGGAGGACGGAGGAACCACACATGCTGCCCTGAGCTCTTTGTAGAGGCATTAAAAGTACTATTACTATAGTTTTCCGTAGGCTAGTCTTGGCTTGGCTCCAGAAGGCGTTACAAACATGAGCTCTCGGTGGTGGTGAATGGGATCGGCAGAAAGTACAAAGCCAGAAGGGATCCCAGGCTCAGTCCAAGGCATCTGGCATTATAAAAGATCTTAAAGCAGCGGCTGCTGGGGAAGTCGTCTCTCTGTCTGGAAGCCTGGAGAACATCCACCCCTCAGAGAAGGGAACTCCAGTGCAGAAGGAACAACAGTGTAAAACCACTTCATAAAATTAAAATTTAATTTCAGTCTTCCTCAAAGGCGATGTCTATCATCCTCTACTTCCCCATCCATTCTGTCCTCACAGCAACACTGGGAGGTATGTAAGGCTGAGAGAGACTGATTGGCCACAGGCCCCTTTCAAAGTCCACAGTCCTCTAGGGCAGTGCTCCCTCTAAGCTGCGGAGTCTTGTGAGCAACAATTCTACTTTGTGAGCTGCTGGCATTAAAGTTGTGAGCGAGCAATCTGGCTACGGCATAAATTAGTTTGCTGTAGAGCCATCCATCCTGAGCTAAGACAAAAATGTGTGAGCCAGAGGCTAAAAAACTGAGCTAGCTCTCATTAACTCAGCTTAGAGGGAACACTGCTCTAGGGCAGAATGAGGCCTAGCATACCTACAGTCTTATCTGTTGCATTTTTAAAGCCGTTTTTAAATGGCTGCCTCTGTGCTTAACTTATGGTGGGCTGCGCTCATTTTAAAATAATGCGCGGAGAGGGCTTCTGGCTCTGCGCCAACACAATGCTCCTCGTGGCGAGTTAGCAACAAACCCTGCAGACCGGTTCCTAAAACCCCAGGAAACATACAGCGGTAGGCTTCCACTGAGGGTGCAACAGCCCCTCCAGTCAGCAGGTGGTGCTCTTCAACACATATTTACACAGCATCCAACTGCACGCGTGCACACACACACAAAAAACCCTGCTTGAGGAAGGAATCATGGGAACTGTATTTTTTTTTTAAAGACAGGGCTGAGAATCTGCCATTACAGATCTCCCAGGTTCTACACTTTTGGGGTACGGTGGATGGGCACCTGCTGCACATGCAGGAATAAGGCAACATCCAGAGGTGAGCCTTGGTGAGCGCCATTTACAAAAGAAAACTGTCTCACCACCAGTTTAATAGCCATGGCTCCTGGCCAGGGGTCATTTCGTAGAAAAAGAGCTAGGGGAACTCATTAGCATAACTCATTAGCATATGCCAAACCCCCTGACCCTGTGAGCAAAAATTCTACTTTGTGAGCTACTGGCATTAAAGTTGTGAGCCAGCGATTTGGCTACTACATCAATTAGCTTGCTCTGGAGCCATCCTTCCTGAGCGAAGACAAAAATGTGTGAGCCAGAGGCTAAAAAACTGTGAGCTAGCTCACACTAACTCAGCTTAGAGGGAACACTGCTCCTGGCCCTGTTGGATTTCCCTTAAATGTCCTTACATTATCTTTCCATCTATCCCTGGACCCTTCCTGCCACACCATCACCCCCCTCCTGCCCCCCACGTTCAAGGAAGTATTCGCTTACCTGCTGGAGACTGCCTGCCAGCTCCTGAAAACGGCCTGCGAATGGCGAGGGGGGCTCGGGCATCCCCACTGGCTCGAGACCCCAACGGTTCGCTTTTCCCAAGGGGGGGCAGCCGGGCTTTGCCTGCTAAGCTGGCTTTGGTCTTGCTGCTTGGGGCCGAAGGTTTCAGGGTGTCTGCTTTCGGGGGTGCAGAGCTCACCCGCGAAGGGGTCCTCTTAGCCTTGGCAGGCCCTTCTTTCTCTGGGTCCACCATGCAGATGCCTGGCTGGGCAGGCAGGGGGCAGGGGTCTTTCAGGGGGGCTGGGAGTGGATCGCAGGTCCGGGCCAGGTTCTCCGGTTCTTCATCCGAGTCCAAGCCACCGTCAGCTGTAATGGAAGGGCACTCCTCAGTGGCTGGTGGGATGTCAGAGTCTGAGAGGGTGGGCAGCGACTCACTGAATGAAGTAGGTGGGGTCTCATCGATACGCGCATGCGGCTTGCGCCCCCTCGGGCCTTTCCTGTGAGCCAGGGGTTTGGTCAACTCTTGAGAGAAGTCACTGCTGTTCGACATGTCCCGGGGGCTGAAGTTGACAGACGGGGACCTTTCTGACTTGGGGTGCTCAAACTCACAAGGAGACACCAGGCAGAGGTCCACATCGTGAGGGGAGTCCGAACGATGGCCAGACCGAGGCAGGACGTGGCCATCCAACCGCTGCACGCTGGAGTGATGGTGGTGGTGGTGGCAGGGTCGGACGGGCAAAGACAGTCCACCTTTGCCCAACGGGCCTTCCGGTTCTGGGGTGAGTCCCCCTGCACGGACATTTCCCACTTCTTCTTGAGGGAATTCACTCACGGGGGGCAGCACCTGCTCAAAGGAGATGGAGAGAGACTCATCCACCTCAGTAGAATGAGGGGATCCCACTTCTGCTGGGAGGGAAGGAGTAGTAATGGTGGGGGAGACGTCTGGGACGTCGTCGCGGAAGAGGCTGGGGGACAGGCATCCTGACGGCCTCTCCTGCGATGAGCTGGAGTTGTCACGCGAGGCCCGAGAGCCAGAGACAGAACCATCAGGCCTCCAGGCATTGATGATGGCCACCGGCTCCTCGGCCATGATAGCATCTTCAACAGGGGACTGATGGAAGGGGGTGTGGCCAGCACTAGCTGCGGTGGAGCTGGAGGGGGACATCATTTCAAGGGTCTTCTCCTCGGAACTGCCGCAGGCTTCCTCGGCCTCTGGGCAGTGGTTGAGGCCTCCCTGGATATCCGTGGGAGTCAGCTCAAGGTTGACGCTCCGATCGCTCTTGGGAGTCTTCACTAATGGGGAGGGTGGGCCAATGCCTTTCAGAGGGGAGCCGGCCTCCAGGTGCCGGAAAGGCTGGGGGCTCTCCGGATCTCCTGCCACACCCAGGCCATTCTCGGCACTCTCTGGGCCGTCTCCATGGCAACCCATGCCATCCAGGGGTGAAGGTTCCAGCTCACTCTCAGCCGTGGTGATGCCTTCATCAGTTGATTCTGCTCCCAACGGCCCCTGCCGGGGGCTCCCCCTCGGCCTCTCCATCTCCTGCATCCCATTCTGGGATGCGGATCTGGACACATCTGAGCGACCTCCTTTGGCACTACCAGGTGTCTTTGGGGTGCCAGCTGCCTCCTTAGACAGCTTCATCTTTGGCTTTTCTGTGTCCTTTCTGAGGGTGGGGATAGACTTCCTGACACTGCCCATCTTAGTCTGGGGCCTCTTGACCTCCACAGCTGGGAGCTTCCGAACTGGCTGCTTAGTCGCCGCTTTCTCCTCCACTTTGACATCTTTCTTGGTCTCCTCTCTCTTTACTTCTTTACGGGGAGGATCTGCCTTCCCCTCATTCTTCAGCATCTTTGACTCTCTTTTGGTTACATCCTTCTCTTGGCCGAGGTCTTCCTTTGGTGCCAGCTTCTTCTCTTCCTTCTTCACATCCTTCTTGGGTATCTGCCTCTCCTTCAACAATTTAGGCCTCACGTCTTGTTTGAGCCTCTCTGTGGAAGATTCCAACTTGGATCTGGCCTCTTTGGTTCTCTCTTCCTCAACGCTACCTCTTGAGGTCTCACTAGGTGCCTTGGGTCGATCTCTGACATTTACCGGCTTCAGTTCCCTCTTCTCCTTGGAAACAGGCATGCCTGGTTCCGTGAGACTCGGCCTAGAACCTGACTTGAGACTCTCTTGGCTCTCTGTCCGCTTCTGCTTGAGTGGAGTAGAAGAGGAGAGAGACTCCAGATCCTTCTGAGTGACCACCGAATGCTTGAGGAACTCCAAGTGTTTGACTTTCTCCAGTCCTTCCAAGATCTTACTGGGGGGCGTGCAACCAGGGAACAAGACCCGAACAATCTTCTCTGCGGGGTTCACAGGGTGCCAGACCAGAAGGGCACAGACAGAGGTCAAGCACTGCAAGGGCAGCTCCAGCCCTTTGGGGTAGCCATTCCCACACCACTGCTGCATTAAGAACTCTAGTTCCTTACTGCCCTTCACTGGGTTGAGGACGTACATATCCAGTCGCCCCACACCCATCTTCTGGAAAAGGATGGTGGGTTCTGCCTTGGGGCCAGCATCCCGATAGAGGGGGCTCGGCTTAATGCCCAGTTTGTCTAGGTACTGCAGGGCCAAACTGCCCTCATCGCAGCTCTTCAAGATACCCGAGTCTCCTTCTATAGTCTTCAACTTCTCAGAGGCATTGAGGAACACCACACCCAACTCTGGTGAGATGAGGTTCTTCACCCAGTCGTCATTCTGGGAGCCATGAGTTGACGGATCCTCCTCCATTTCAGCAAGCTTCCTCTGCAGCAGACTGTTCACCCCAGGTAAACTGTCTGTCCCAATGTGGGTCACCAAGACGGAGTCGATGCGGTCCAGGTGACGAACCAGCTTCCAGAAGGAGGACCTGGGATTGGAGCCCCCATTCACCAGCATGTTGAACCCATTGACAGCAAAGAAGGCAGAGTCCCCCCTTCCGCCTGGAAAGATATAGCAGCAAGGCCTGGAGAGCTTCAGGAAGCCAACAGTGCTGGGAGGCTCCAGGAGCTCGAAAGGTGGTGGGGGATCGAGGGACTCCGAAAGATATTCGATGAACTCCTGTAAGCCCTCCATCTCTGGCAGCACACAGCCGGGGTTGAACTGGAGATCAATGAAATCCAACAGGTTGTGCTCGCCCAGCCTGGAATCCTTCCAAACCCCAAAGTCTGGGCAAACCACAGTCATGCTGGTTTTAGCTGAAGGGTCTGCTGAGCTTAGGAACTCCCCAACCTGAGATAGGCAGAGAGAGAGAACAGAGAAGGAAGAGGGGGAAAATACAGTGAGTGTATGAAGATGCCCTCTACAAAGCCAAATTCTGGGTCCTAGCATCCCAGAACTATTCACACCAACCAGCAACAATTCTCCAAGGCCCCAGAGAGGGGAAAAATGTGTTTCCCAGCATAGCTAGCCAAGAACCTTTTAACTGAGAAGGACTGAAACTGGGATTGTCTACATGGAAAAGCAGTTGTACCACTGCTGAACTATGGCCCCTCTGGCTACAAGTAGAAAAGTAGAACTGTACATCTCACTTGTGAACATCAGAAACTGCCTTTTCTAAAACATGAGATAAATCAAAAACTGGGATCACAATGTAAGAACCAAGTTAAAAAACAACCACCGCTGTGATAATGTGCTACAAAGATTTACTGCGCACGATATGATTACAAAGAATTTTCAGTGATAAAATTACAGGAAACTTTCAAGGATACAAAACTGTTGACATAAGCAGCCACAATCTGTAATGTCCATGAAAGCCTGTTGAAAAAGGAAAACTGATGAGACCGGCATTACTCTGTGTTAATCTGGCTTACCTTTACCAGGAAGGAGTTTTGTGTCTTAGTATTGGGCTAATTGGTGTGTATATGTCTCTTATGTGCCATTCAGCTGTGTTCTTTTAATTACTGCATTAATTTAGCCAGTGTAAAGAGTGGCTGAAGAAGAAAACAACAAAACAGTTGTTTATCCGGATGTCTGTCCAATGGCTTTTACAATAAATATTTCCACGGCTGCTATCATACATTTCTGAAATCTCTGAGGCTTTCATGGGCATTATGAACTGTGGCTGCTTATGTCAATAGTTTTGTATCCCTGAAAGTTTCCTGAATTATACTACTGAAAATTCTTTGTAATCATATTGTACACAGTAAATTATCACAGTGGTGGTGGTTTTTTTAACTTTTCCAAAACCCAACCATCAGTCCATCCAACCCAGCTTTCTCTCTTACCTACTTCATTTATACTCCACTTCTCGACTCAATGGGGACCCAAAATGGCTTACACCATTCTCCTCCATTTTATCCAATCTGGGAGAACCGGGTTTGATTCCCCACTCCTCCACTTGCACCTGGCTGGATGACCTTGGGCAAGCCATAGTTCTGATAAGAGCTGTCCTTGAAAAAGAGCAGTTTCTGTCAAGAGCTCTCCCAGCCCCACCTACCTCACAGGGTGTCTGTTGTGGGGAGGGGAAGGGAAAGAAATTTGTAAGCCGCTCTGAGACACCTTTGGGTTGTGAAGGGCGGGGTATAAATCCAATCTCTTCTTCTTCTTCTATCTCTTCTTTTTAACCTAGATATACCAGGGACCTCCGGTAGGCAATACAGGCGGTCCTACCCTGAGCTACAGGGCCCCCTAAGTGGCGATGCTCACAAGCACTGATTCATAGAGTAGCAGTGTGCACCTCTGCACATTACCGTGAAATACTTCTATGCATGTCCAAGATGCACTAGATGAGAGGGTCAGCAACCATTTATAATTAAAGGGACAAACTATCTCAAAAATCATAGCAAGAGATCCACAAAGAGCCAGCATAAGAAAACTCATTTGTATAACTGAAAATTATACCATAATTGACACACTGATTGATAATCCATTATGTTTTTGCAGCCCAAGCACTAGCTGTTGCAAGTCCTTTTCTAAGGAGTGGCGCGCACACAGTCTTACAGTAAGTCATAAATATACACAGGACCACCCTGCATGATTGTTTTAGTACACTGGCATAAGTCTGTGCATGGCTTGCACTTGGATTACGGGCAACTTTTCACCTCTATATCATTTCCCTAAATGTACAGTATCTCTAAGAAGCCCTCGAGTCTCATAAAAATCTTTGCCCACAGTTCCCTTTGCATACTAGTTAATCTGGCATCCCACCTACCCCTTCAATACATGTTAACTTAAAAGATCCCCTTTTCTTTCTCAGCCCCACCTACCTCACAGGGTGTCTGTTATGGGGAGGGAAAGGAGTTTGTAAGCCGCTCTGAGACACCTTTGGGTAGTGAAGGGCGGGGTATAAATCCAATCTCTTCTTCTTTCTGTTTTTTTTTTTTTTTTTTAAGAAGAGCCACATTTGGGTTTGTACTGTGCCAACTGAGAGAGGCTCAACCCACACAGCACATGTTTTTCAACTGCCCATATTATAAGGAAGCATGAGGCAAGATCATCATCCCTTTATTAGACAAATAGACTTGATTATCTTCTGATAAGAACCCCAAGATTACCTATCAGGTAGCTAGATTTTGTTTGGCGATACTGAATTCTGAACCTAGCCTTCCCATAGACAGGCTGAATTACGATTTAGAATTTTTCTTCTGTTTCACACACAGGACTGCTCAGTCACAGGAGACGCCTTGTCAGCAGTTCGAAGTGACTACATGGATGGACTAGGTTGACCTGAGAGAATCGGGCACAAAAGGAATTGCCACAAAACTTGAATCGATGACCCACACTCCCCTACCTCGCCACCAGTACCATCTCAGGCACATTTCCGTACCAAACAGTTTCCGAGGTCAGATCAGTCGGCGCTTCTCAAGTTCCCAGAACAAACACCCAGAGCCTCCTGGCAGCAAGCAAAGCTCGGGACAGTGGGGAAAAGGAGACTCACCACTTTGTCAGCAAAGACCTGGATGAAGTCCCGCAATGCGAAAGTGCCTGTCTGGAGCACCAGCTCCCCCGTCTCCTCCACGCAAGGGCCGGCAAAGATCAGCAGCTTGTGCCGGGAAGAATCGGTGATCAGGTTGCGGAGCTGGAGCAGGGCGGGAGGGAGGGAAGAAGGGATCGGTCCTGGGATCATGGGCATGAATGCCTTTGAATCCAAGCTTACTGGGCAGTGGAGCTGCTCCTCTCATAGTAACAGTAATATACTTTATTGTCATTGTACATAGTACAATGAAATTAAGATGCAATCATTTCGGCCATCTGCAACAATATTCATATACACTCACACAACCATTCACAACTGTCTCATAACTCCCTTTAAGGTTCACATAGCAACTTAAAACCACTAATGTCACCCAAATTCCAATTTTATACAGCATTTAAGGCAGTAATAGCTCTCGGAAAAAAACCTATTTTTTAATCTGTTTGTCCTTGTTTTAATTGTCCTATATCTTCTGCCCGAAGGCAGCAGTTCAAACAGGGAATGTCCAGGGTGTGACAAATCCCGCAGAATGTTCTTTGCTTTTTTCAAACATCGAGCACGATGCAATTCCTCCAGGAATGGGAGGGGGCAGCCAATGATCTTCTGGGCTGCGATGATAACTCTCTGGAGTGCTTTCCTATCCACAGCCATACAACTGGCAAACCAGGCACAGACACAGTATGTTAAAATGCTCTCTACTGAGCAGCGATAGAAGGACATCAATGTTTTCTCATTCAAATAGATACTGCTCTACCGCAGCCACCCATCAGGGATGAGAGAGGGCAAGGCGGGCTGCGTGGCCAGAGCTCAGAGGCAGAGCCACTCGCCTGGCAGGTTCACCCTCCAGTTAAGACATCGTCACAGGGAGGAACTGCAGGGAAAGGCCTCTCTGTGACTGAGATCCTGGAGAGGCAGTTGGAGGAGAGGAGACTGGGAGAGACAAACCAGGCATCCGGTTTGATCTGAGGCAACCACATGTCAGCCAGCTTCTTTGCAGCTAGGAAAGGCTTTTGAGGCACACAACACCCTGCCCAGCGGGGAAGCCCATTAAAAGGATGCGGAACTGTCCCGCACCCAAGTCAGGCCCCTGGTCCATCTTGCTCAGCCCAACGGGCAGCTGCTCTCCAAGGTCTCAGGTGGAAAAAGCTCACTCCCAGCCTCTGAGCTTCACGCTCAAGTCTCCAACTCAAGGGTCTCAAAAGAAAGGCAGCCGCAATATGGAGGCTGTGATGGCCAGGGGGAAATTCTGCTGCTATGCCTGTTTGATGTAGACGTGACTAATGGCTCTGAAGTTCAAAATATGTTTCTGACACCAAAATGTGCACCAAACAAGCTGCTGCTTGTGCCCCAGGTCACCTCCATTCCCAAAGCAGGGCTCCCTGCTCACCTCATCACAGATTGACTTGTCAGAAGGGTTCAGCAAAACTAACGTCTCTAGGATATCTCCGCGATGATGGAGGGCACGCTGACCTGTGCGGAAAGAGAGAGAGATCCAAATAATAACCTCAGAGAGAGAAGTCAAGAGTACTCTGATGCACTGTGTCACTCCTCCTGAAAGACAGTATGTTTATATTAATTTCAGCCATTCCGACTCTGCTTCCAGACGTACCCCAGGCAGCCAACAGCAGAACTCCAAAACTCTGAACAGCAAAAGCTGCAATGTAAGGCAACTGCCCACCACAAAACATTTACTATATTTACAGTCCACCTTGCTAACTGAGCGTCAAAGCTGATTACAGCGTAAAGTCGATATAAAGTGACATAAAAGAGATATAAAGAGACATCTTATCAGAAATATACCAGGGCTAGGATTACAGAAATCTGAATAAGCATGTCATATTGGGCATGACGCAGTGTGGGTATAAAGAAAAATGGTATCATAGCAGTAAAAAACAATGCAGTAATACGTGCAGCAAATCAGTAATACATCCTCTGCTCAGTGGTATAGTCCGCAGTCCCTTTTCTGTTTGGCAATGCAATATTTGAAGCAAACCCCAGCAATGACCCAGGAGGTCAGGAAAGAGGGCGCCAGTAAGCTTTCTCTGGCAAAGAACACCATCTGGGGGCAAGAGCAGAGAAGGCCCCTTCAGGCACACAAACATATCCCCTTCCTGCAGCTCAGGCAGGCTCACAAGCTGGGCCCCAACAGCAGACCTCAACCCCTAAGGCAGGTTCCTACTGGAGGCAAAGGCCCTTCAGTTACTTTACTCCCAAACCACTTAGGGCTTTCCAGGGTCAACATCTGTATTTTGAACAATGCCCAGGGGGGGAAAGCTGGCATAACTCTGTGTGTGGTGTGCGTGTGCGCATATACACACGGGTAGTCCTCCTTGGCCAGCCCCAGCTAGGACCATCACAGCCTGTCTCCAAACACTGCAAACCTGCTGCCTGCACGGGTGTGGAAATTCTGCTGCCCCCCCCCCAGACACCATCACAGCCCACCACAACAGTGCTAGACATCCTTGCCACCAAAGTAAGGCAGCAACTTCACACACCGCAGCTCAGCCAGCCCTTTGCAATCAAGTCGCTGCAGGCATCGTTACTGCCAACAACATCGCTGTGCCAGGGACAGATGCTCAGCTGAGGCCTGGCAAATGCTGGGGCTTCCTCTGGGAGCCCAGAAGCCTGGGAGTATAACGGAGCTCCTTCAGTGCCTCTGGAACAAGTAAAGGACAGCAAGTTAATTCAGAAAGAAGATGACGACAGCAGAAATGATAACCTGCAATTCACTTGAGGACGTTCTGGATAAATGGAATTTCTGCAGAGACAGAGCTGCGTAAAAATCCCATGACTGAACGGGTTGGATCTTGCAGATCTGTTCCACTACCTGTGGCTTTCCTCCAGCACAATGAACCGTCCCCCAACACGAGAGGAACACCAGAGGAAAGCCCCACTGCTAGTATACCGGAGCCACAGGATCCAACCCAGTATGTACCAAATGAGCACATCATCCGCACAACAAGACCTTAGCAGCTGGAGGGGCAGGGGGTCTCGCACTGCACAGCTCTTTGTCCTAATCATGGCCAGGAGCAGTGTGAAAGTTAGTTATATTGCACGATTTGTACACGTCTGAAGAGGAGGGGACCAACTGCTTAGTAATGCAGTAGTTCGTGCTGCAGCAGGGTCCCAGTTCCAATCCTGGGCAGCACCCTCCTGTTACAAGATCACAAGCAGCAGGTTTGGGGAAGAGTCCTTCCCCACTGGAGACTTGGGAGAGCCCCTGCCAATCAGAAGAGACAAGCGTGCTGGACGGACCAATGGCCTGAGTCCGTATAAGGCAGCGTCACATGATCCCAAGCCTGCATTTTGCTTGAGGCATCAACTGGCTCGGCTCAATTTTAAAATGCTAAGCACACACCACCCCTCCTGCAGCCATCTGTGCCAGAGACACTGTGATTCCCCCTCATTGCAATTCAGGCCATGGCTGGTACCATGCAGGTGGACTGGGACAAAGGACAGGGCGATGCCGTGGGATGAGACCTTCTGGCCCCGCTCCAGCCCTGCTGGATTCCCACTAAAACAGGCAGAGGTTACAATCCGTGGAGAAATCTGGCTCATGAGAGAGCGCGTGGACACAGCCCGGACTTTCTAGAGCGATCTTGTTGGCAGCGGAGAGACCAAAAACAGTCCGTGGCTTGCATTAAACCTGGCTGTCATAGAGCACCCCATGTGACGGATATCTGTAGATCACTCTTAAAAACAAATGCCACTGGAAAACCTGCGGCTGCCTGGCCTCTACTTCCTCAATTTCTCTCCCCAAAGCCCTGCTCTGACTTGGAACCTCTGAAAAGCCCCACAGAACTATTTTCGGGAGGGATGACTAGTTTTATAAGTGGCGAGGGCACACCCTAAAATAGCAAGGTGATCAAAGGGGAGAAAACCGGCAGCCTGCCGTCCTCCCCACTTCCCGCTCCAGCCTGGATCCAGTTCCCAGAGCAGCATTTTGTACAGCACCTTCGTTATAATTAGTATTGGATTTTAATCATTCTAAGCCGCTCAAGGAGCAACGCTTTTGACTAAAAAAAGGAAAACTGGGACAAAACTAAGCATCCAATCTATCTAGATTCACACCTAGCTGGATGCATTTACAGGAGACGGATGGGAAAGGAATCCAGTTCCTCAGAAAACAAAGAGCCCTGCAGCCAGGGAAAGGAGAAAGATTTTGCTGAGTAGCAAGAAGGAAGCGGAACTATACCCTCCCTTTTGCTGAGGTCGTAACCTAGGAAGTTCTCCTTAAGGCTGTTCAAAGCAATATCAGGGAAATGTTTTGTTTTATAAATGATGCTGGGTCCCAGCCTCTGATCTGTTAATAAGAAGCTGAATCCCTTGGATAATAAGAGAAATGGCAGCATAATTTACAAATAAAACTAGCTAGCTGCAAAGACAAATGCCTTCTCTCCACGGAAGCAGCCATTTGTAGGCATCTGTCGCACACCCACCTACACAGAGGTCCTTTCCACATTTGCCTTCCACTCCGGATTTTCTCAGTGTTTGAGTCGAGGCAATTTAAGTCCGTGGCAAAACAGCATCCAACCCGGGGCAACAGCAGGCTGAAACCGGGCTGACCACTGAAGGGAGGTAGTGTCATGCAGAATGGGGGAAGAACCCGAAATAAAAAGAAGGTTGAACTCGATTTTAGTGCAGAATTATCAGAATGGGGGGGGACGCAACAGAGAAAGAAAGAGACCAGAGCAGGCCTCAGGAATCCATACAGATGATCCAAGGTGTGGAAAGTCCAACAGCTCTGTGGAAAACTGTGACCAAATGCACCGAGAAAGGTGCCCAGCTGCACAAAGCAAAGGAGAATCTAACCTGAGCAGAAGGGGGGGGGCATCAGGAGTTTCACAGACAGGCATGCCAACATCGCAGCTGTGTCAGCTCCTTACCCCACACCCAGAACAGGAAAAATTGAGCAGCAGGGAGAACAGACCCATACAAGACTGTCAGGAAGTCATTTTTCAGCCCAAGACCTCCTCTCGACCCCTCAGCAAACATGCTAAAGCAGGAGCATCCTCCAGCACTGGTGAAGATTGTCTTCTGCGCAGCCAGAAGGATGGAGGAGCAAAGGGTTCAAGTAGAGCTACACACCTGTAAACATCACCTTCCATTTTTTAATTGGGGGGTGGGGGGAGAAAACTCAGCTCTATTGATAAACTTGGTGTATGTCATTGCAAACGAGCACAGCCCCACCGTCTTATACATGAGCCAAGCTCAAACCACGACCAATGAGTGTGCTTAAAAACTGGATCTGCCCTCATCTGGTATAAAGTGAAAGGTCTGGTTCTGAAGAGCACAAAGTAGTATGCAAACACTGCCAAGTCCCTATAGCTGCAACACAGAGCCAGTTTGGTGTAGTGGTTAAGTGTGTGGACTCTAATCTGGGAGAACCGGGTTTGATTCCCCACTCCTCCACTTGCACCTGCTGGTGTGACCTTGGGTCAGTCACAAGCTCTGGCACAGCTGTCCTTGAAAAAGAGCAGTTTGTGTCAGAGTTCTCTCAGCCCCACCCACCTCACAGGGTGTCTGTTGTGGGGAGGGGAAGGGAAAGGAGTTTGTAAGCCGCTCTGAGACTCCAAGTGAAGGGCGGGGTATAAATCCAATCTCTTTTCTTCTTCTCTTCTTCTTGCAGTAACCCCCCCGAACTTTAACTGCAACTGTGCTTCAATACTGGAACGTCTGCAGAGCTGGAAGAACAAGCGCCTGGTGGGAGAGGCTGCAGAGATTTGAATGGCTGGGAAGACGGAGGCTTCAGCACCCCTCACCTGTGTGCTCTTCTTTGCTTTTTAAACAGTGCACACACACGCACACCCCTCTTCTTGCCTTTATCCACGACTGGAGTTTTAACACACACACACACACGCAGAGACCACAACCATGTGTACTTTGAGCCCCAGGTCCACGAAGGGCTGACAGGAATCCCTGAGAGGCTGGATCAGGAGCCGGGCTTCCATGGAGGAAAAATGTCCATTTACCAGTGCAGAAAATAGAAAGTGGGGAAAAAGTCATCTAAGGCCTTTTGACCACAAGGCAGACCATCAAATCTGCTGATCCAACAAAGGCTCCGTGCTGGAATAATTGCTCCAAGGAGCCCCGGGGGGGCTCTTAAAACACTCTTAAATAGACTAATCAATTTCCAGAGCTGCAACTTCCAACAGCTGTCACTGCGCTCTGTGAGGCTGGAGGACTCGTTCGGTTACCACACCTAGCCTTGACTATCAAGAAGCCCAGCACTCAGATCCCAATGTGGACTCCTGCGACCTTCAAGTTTGTAGTCCTCAAGGCTACAGATTACAAAATAAGGACACTGAATGAAAGATTCCAAAACCAAGGTGGGCGGAGAAGGTGGCACTTCGTGTCTGAGTTGGTTTTCGAGGCTGCTAAGACTCCCCCAGGACTCCGCACTGGCAATATAAGTTGCCTTCATATCCACAAGGCCTATTCATGAGTGTCAGAACTCTGACTGGTAGGCCTCAGATCAAAGACAGACAATGTGATCTACGGAGATGAAGAGAGAGACTCCTTTCAAAGGCATCCAGCAGCCCCAAGGGCTGCTGTTCCTGGAACAGTCAAGACATGTGCGCGTGTCAGAGAAGAACGGCTGCGCTGTCCAGAGTAGCAGCACCCAAAAGCCACAAGCCCGTGGCCAGTTCTGCAGGCTGGGCCCTTCGTGACAACCAGCCGTTCCAGCAAATGCTACTTAAAAGGCTGGCAAAAGCAAGGGACCCTGGGGCACTGAGTCATGCACCACCCAAGGCCCTAAGAATTAGCTCTACTTGCAAGCCCAGTCCCCACCGGCTGCAAGAAAGCAACCGCAGCGCAGGATCAAGCCAGATTTTGCCTAGCCCAGCGTTCTGGCTTTTGATGGGAAAGCTGCAGGCAAAGCAGCAGCCGTGCAGTTAGCAAGGTAAGCAATTCTTTTAAAGGCCATTCTAAATATCGAAGCATGAAAAAGTTCACACACAGAGAACAGCTCCTGGTACCTCCCCTCCGTTAGGCACTGCCTCCCTTGACACTAAGAAGAAGAAGAAGAGAAGAGATTGGATTTATACCCCGCCCTTCACTCGGAGTCTCAGAGCGGCTTACAAACTCCTTTAGCTTCCCTTCCCCACAACAGACACCCTGTGAGGTGGGTGGGGCTGAGAGAACTCTGACAGAAACTGCTCTTTTTCAAGGACCGCTGTGCCAGAGCTTGTGACTGACCCAAGGTCACATCAGCAGGTCCAAGTGGAGGAGTGGGGAACCAAACCCGGCTCTCCCAGATTAGAGTCCGCGCACTTAACCACTACACCAAACTAAGGTGCCAACAAGCACTCTCTCACTGCTAGAGTGCATGTGTGCTCTCAAACACACAACCGCACCAGTTGTTGTTGTTGTTTTTTAAGGGGGTTGCAAGCAATCTGGAGGGGGGAGGGCACCACACGCTTCACAAAGCCTGCCTTAGAACAAACAATTTGGAGAGCCACCGGCGCAGGCATTCTTGCATCCATTTCCCAGAGAAGAACAGCTGCCTGATCCAGGCTGCACGGACACAAGCCAAGCAGAAAGCTGCAGAGACGCCCTCAACAAAAGCCGCCCTGTCTTCCCAGCCTAAAAATGTTTGCTTTCCACAGCAAAAACACAAGAGGATTCAGCTATGCCCTGAAGGGCCTGAGAAGCAGCAGCCCCACCCCCACCCTGCAAAGGACAACAGCAGCCGTTCTCCAGCTGCTCCTCGCAGAGTGACGCAAGCGCCAGACAAACCCCCGTCTGCAACGTGAATTCAGCACCAAGCATGCGAGGTGGACAGTCATTCAAGGACACAGTGGGGGCAGCCAAGGAGCAGGTTGGGGGGCTCTGGAGGGGTGCGCCGTCCATGCTTATAGAGAAACGGGCCTGCGGCACACAGACTCTGCATGTGCTCCTTTTGGATCAAGGAGAAAAATCTTTGCAGAGAAGGCAAAGCCTTTTTTAAAAGGGAGTCAAAGAAAATGGGAGTGTGATGCAAATTCCTTCCTTTCTTTTTGTACCCATGGCAGCTCATTGATTCACAAACTTTGAGCTGCAGAAAACACTTGTGTATTTTTTAGATGCAAGGGCGAAAAGGACCGAGACAAATTTTGCAATCGCTACAGTGATCTTGGGATCCTTATCACTGAGCAAAAGAGCCGAGGTTTCCGGAGTATAGGGGGACGATTGGTTGGTGATGCAAATTCATCAAGGTATACGTGGCAGGAAGCAAATGGAAAGAGTTCTCTGACTCTCACGTAACACGAGCACTGGAGGCCACCCGATGGAATCGATTCAGGACAACTACCTGCCATGAATCAGCCGCCACAACACAGACAAGAAAGACGGGCACGGCAAGTGAGCCAAGCTACAGAGGACGGGAGAACAGAGAGCACCAGTGTAACACAGAGGTTCACATGTCGGTCTAGGCTCAGGGAGACCCAGGTTCAAATCCACACTCTGCTGCAGAGCTCACTTGTGTAACCTTGGGACCATGACTCTCTTTCAGCCTACCCTGCCTCACAGGAATGTTGTGAGGATTAAATGGCAGGAGGGAATCATGTACGCCATTCCGAACTCCTTAGAAGAAGAGTGGGAGTTTAAAAAACCCAACAGTACAAGAACCCCTGGGGCTCAATCTGACCCTGCTGGGAAAGTTGTACAAAAACAAGGCGGCTCGCCTTTCATGAATGACCACCTCCCACCCCACCCCCTACACACAGAGATAGTTCAGAAAGCCTGACACCCCCTTGCCCATTCAAAGAAAGTACAGCCCTCCCTCTGATTTAGCTTTGCGATGTTGTCAGAGAGCCAAATAAGGTTGGCTCTGTGGCACGGGGATATCATCATGCTGGCTACAATATCCCCCACTGGTTGGATTATATAGCCTGCAAAGGGTCACCACCATCCCCTTTATTAAAATACAAAGAAGAGCAGGCTGTCAGAGAGCCAAATCAGGTTGGCTCTGTGGCATGGGGATATCATCATGCTGGCTACATGATCCCCCACTGGTTGGATTATATAGCTTGCAAAGGGTCACCACCACCCCCTTTATTAAAATACAAAGAAGAGCAGCTGAGCCCCCACCACCACCACTCCATGCCAAAAATGTTCAACTATGAGAATTCATCACAACTCCAAGAAGCTTCTTCAGCGGCGGCAAATTATAGCTGCACAACCTTGGGAATTGGGGGTGGGGGGCATAATTCTGGAATCCTATAGCCAGAGTGAAATCTCTGCATCAACAATGGACAGAAATTATACAAGGGTGCCCCACAGGGGCTGACCGGGGCCACTCAGAAGCACCATCTTCGCCCACCTCCTACCTTTCACGATATCCGAAAAGGTGGCCGAATGACGGGATACGAAGAGCTTCAGCTGCTGGTCGAGGTTGCAGGCGGTCAGGTCAATATCCCACGAGCGAATCCCTGGAAGAGGGGAAAGGGAGAGGTCATGGAAGGATATTGCCACTGGGCCCCTCGGTCTTCCGGAGCAAGAAGAGGCAGTGATCACAGCTCAGGGTATCCATGCCTCAAGCTAAGGGCTCCTCACCAGTAGAAAATGTTGCCCACTATCCCAGGTCTGGAAGATTAAGGCAATATCGGAGTGGTTTCTCACAAGGCTTGAAGGAGGTCAAGAATTAGTAACAGCAGAGCAGTAACTATACCAACGTTATTCACAACATCATAAACAAAGTACTGACCAGCAATGCCACTGTGAACAGTCAATGTTGTGAGCATTTTTCCACCAGGCCATCATAGAAGAAGACAAACCCGGTTCTCCCAGATTAGAGTCCACGCATTTAACCACTACACCAAACTGGCATAGGTGCCCCTTACCCAAACACACAAACTTTTATTCTCATGTACAAATCCAGGGGCCATCCAGAGGCATTCTTAGATCCTAAACCCTATCATGATACCCACCCTAGAGCCAGTTTGGTGTAGTGGTTAAGCGTGCAGACTCTAGTCTGGGAGAACCGGGCTTGATTCCCCACTCCTCCACTTGCAGCTGCTGGATGACTTCGGGCTGTTCTTGAAAGAGCAGGTCTTGAAAGAGCTATCTCAGTCCCATCTACCTCACAGGGTGTCTGTTGTGGGGAGGGGAAGGCATTTGTAAGCCGTTCTGCGACTCCGAGTGAAGGGCGGGGAATAAATCCAATCTCTTTTTCTTCTCTTCTTCAGAATAACAGTGCCTCACCCCATCGTTACAGGGTTTACCTGAGCTCAAGAAACTACAAGAAAGGCAGCAAGATTTCCCCCCACCTGCCTCTGTTGCCTGGTTTCAGCAAGGAGAGGGTTGATTTATTACACTCCGCAATCCAATAGCAATAATTAGCATTAGGGAATACTTATCACATCACATAGATTCAGGTGGGTAGCCGCGTTGGTCTGAAGCAGCAGAGCAAAGTTTGAGTCCAGTAGCACCTTTGAGACCAATCAATTTTTATTCTGGGTATAAGAGTTCGTGTGCATGCACACTTCTTCACATTTATCATCACATTAAGACACTGCCTGCCGAGAAGCTTCTGTGCATGAGACGCATAGTGGTTGGGATGCCAGACTAGGGTCCAAGTGACCTAGGTTCGAAACCCCACTCTGCCATGGAAGCTCACTGAATGACCTGGGGCCAGACACTCTCTCTCAGCCTAACCTACCTCATAGGGTGGCTGTTGGGGAGAAATGCCAGGTATAAAAGAAGTAGATTAATACATAAATAAATTCCAAAGAATATCTCGAACTGAGTGGCTCACCAGACAGCTGAAGAAACACAGTAGGGAACCATCATCCCTTCCTAACCTTCTGCTGGGAGTTCACAGCCTCCCTATATGGTTAGCTGGTTCAGATCAGTACACCGAATTCAGCCCTTCACCCCTCTCCTTTTCTTCGCAAACACTGCTCTTCCTTATACCAGAGCTTCCTAGCTTCCCTACTTCTTCTCAATTCCCCAGCCCACTCTTCAGTCACCAGCTCCTCCTGTCTCTAAGACATCACACGAGCTTTTCATTTCCAGACACAACTGACTGGTTTCCTTTCCCCGCACAGAAAGCGGAGGACAAGCCTATCTCCAGCTTTGTTCGCTGAGCAAAGCAGAACGTTCGCGGGCATTCCGTGGGGCTGCACCCCGCTCTATTGTATCAAGAGGCTTTCTGCCGCAATCACAGCACAAAGCAGACACGAAGCACTCGCTCCGCTAGCCACACGGGGAACGCCACATGCCTGCCCTGCCTGAGAACAAGAGAGAAGGGAGAGCAGCTGCAGGCATCCACGCACCACAGCTGCCGCCGATAAGGCCAGCGCTCTTCACATCAGCCCTCGCAACAGACTGTCATATGTGTGTGTATTGCACCTGTGCTCCATATATCCCCTTGAGGGGCTCACAGCAGCTTACATACAGTTCAATTAGGAAATATGCAGGGCTAGGTAGCAGAACTATAGCAGACCCCCTTCAGGTTATTCTCAGAGCGCCATGTCCAGCTTCGCCACATCCTTGGCCTCTCCTAGATCCCCACTCTGGCAGCCAAGCTACGAAACACTGGACAGTTCAGACAACAGATCTCAGCCTTTGCACATGGCAACAGAGCAAGTGCATCAGGGGAAAATAAACAAGATGTATTGCTAGCCACCACTAGAGAGGCAGCCCAGTGAGAGTCTGTTGCAGCAGCGAATCCCCAACTTGTCTTGTGACAACTTAAAGACCAATGGATTTATCGTGGCAGATGCCAATGCAAAGGGACCCTGGGTCCATGAAAGCTTCTGGTGCAATACATCTATCTGACAGTCTTTAAAATGAGACAGGATTCTAAACACCACTCGATTTATTGTCCGGAAGGGGAAGTTCAGGCTGTGTGCAATGAGCCCAGAACCAACTACCACCCTGTGTGAGGTTCAAACACTGACATCTCCAGTTAAAGGCGCTCCGGTAGCAGGCACTGGGAAAGACCTTTTTCTGCCTGGGCGAACGTCTGCCACAAAAGATTGAGCTAGCTAGGGTGGAACAAAGGTCTGGCAAGGTAGTCCTCCACTTTTAGCTAGAGGGCAACAGCTCAGTGACCGAGCACTAGGCTTTGCCTGCAGAAGGGTTCTGGGCTCCACTGCCAGACAGTCAAAAGGATTTTAGATAACAGGTGTTGAGAAAGGTCCTTCTACAGTACCTTCACAAATAAGGAGATAAAACTGAGCTAGACAGACCAAAGACCTGACTTGGTAAAAGACAGTTTCCAGATGTTGCACTGGATGTAGTGATGGCCATGGGCACAGTTGGCTTTAAAAGGGGATTAGACAGATTCATGGAGGACAGGTCCATCAGTGGATGGTGACTACAGGCAACCTCCACAGTTAGAGGCAGCAAAGCTCTGAATAGCAGAGCCAGGGGCAGCAGCAACAGCGGACGCCTCTGTTTGACTCCACAGGTTGAGTGTTGTGCACAACATGCTGGACTAGATGGACCACTGGTCTGATCCAGCAGACCGTACTTATGTAATGGATGTAAATGCCTCTTTCTTCTCCATCACCCTTTGTTGCTTTTTGCAAACACCAAGGTGGAAGACTATTAAGTTCTGCAGGAGGGATGGAAATCTGTCTGGATATTCAAGCAGGGCTGGAAGAACACTAAGCACTTAGGGGTCAGATCCACGTTCCCAACACTGGCTGACTTCCCCCCCACCTTTTTTGCCATCAAGCCTCAGCTGACGTACGCCAACCCTGTAGGGTTTTCAAGGCAAGAGACGTTCAGAGGTGGTTTGGCATTACCTTCTTCTGCATAGCTACCCTGGAATTCCTTGATGGTCTCCCACCCAAGTACTAACCAAGACCGATTTCTTGGTTTCCAAGAAATGGTGAGATCGGGCTAGCCTGGGCTATCTAGGTCAAGGCCTTGGTTTATTACCCGTTAAAAAGATGGAGGTACTTTCTCTTGGGGTCTAACATCCCTCAGGCTGTTTGATGCAGCCACAAGGTCACTTCAATATGAAAGGCAGAGGCCTTAGGTGGGGCAGAAAATTCAAGTAAGCTTTCTGCAGAGGGTTGTGCAGAAGGAAAAGAATAACACGTCCTTCCACCTTTTTCTGGAATGCATGGAACTGTCTTAAATTCTGGTTCCTTCCATCCCGTGCACGAGTTCACAGGAAACAAAACATCGAGATCATCCTCATCTGCAAGCACTCTTGAGCGGTTAGCACTCTCTTAAGCAAGAAGGACACACGCGTCCCCTAACAGCCAAACGGCCAACCACAGTTGGGGGGGCTAGCTTTCCCAACCAGCCTCATCAACCCTGTTGGCAGTGTCTAAGTCAAACGGTTTCCTGGAAGACGTGCCTCTTTCTCAACTATCCGTTCAGACATTTCAGAGGGTATTGGCTTTTGCAAGAAAGACTAGGATCACCATTCTTTGGCAGACAGTTAAGATCCTGCTTACTTGGCTGTGCCCTCTGGTTATGAGGCTCAAGAGGAACCTCACATGCTTGGGCAGAAACCCCTGGGATCCCACAAACCAGAGCCAGAGACAAGACATCGCAGACCTTTAATACATATGCATGGCTGAGGGCTGCAAAAATCAGACCTACGCACTGCCACCACTAACACAAAAGCTCTGCAAAAAGAACAGTTGAGTCCTGAGCCTAAGCTTTCAGACCCGAAACAAAATGCTGCTCTCTGACTGGGAAGAGAAGGGGGCTGTATTCCAGAGTTCACAAGAGCAGGAGTCCCGAGATACTCACATGACAGAAACTTTAATCTCCCTCTCCCAAATCCTAGACCCTTGGGCTTGGGGGAGGCAAGGAACCCTGGAATGAGAGGCCCATCGCAGCTGCTTCCTGTTTAGTGTTCACAGGAAGTGCCGCTTAACAAGGAAGCATCTCAGCAGATGGGGAAAGAGGCCATCGCCACAGGGCCCTTCAAACCGGGGAATCAAAGAACAAGCAGCTATCGTAAAAAGCTGATCTTACTTCTAAACCCAGTTCTCAAAGCTGAATAAGCAATTCAATGTGACCTAAATTACCTGTTCCCCCCCCCAAAAAACCCACACCCTATTCTAAGTGGTTATATTTTTAAATCCCACCTTGGAGAGTACACAGTCCCCCCCTCCCCCGTCTATAAGAAGAAGAGTCGGGTTTTATCCCCTGCTTTTCTCTACCCTAAGGAGTCTCAAAGCAGCTTACAACCACTTTCCCTTCCCCTCCCTACAAGAAGCACCTTGTGAGGTAGGTGGGGCTGAGAGAGTTTGCAGAGAGAGAAGTGTGACTGGCCCAAGGTCCCCCAGCAGGCTTCATGTGCAGAAGTAGGAAATCAAACCCTCTTCTCCAGAGCAGAGTCTGCCACTCTTAACTGCTACACCACACTGGCTTTTGTCCCTCCCAAACCACCCTGTGAGGTAGGCAAGGCAGAGAGGCTGTGACTGGACCAAGGTCACGAAGGGGATTTTGTGGCTGAGTGAGAACCCAGGTCTCTCCAGCCCTAATCCAACAGTTTAAACACCTAAGCAAACCGACAGCATACACCACCACCAGAGGCACACTCACACTGAGAGACACTTTTCTGCAGCCATGAGGATGAGAAGCTTTTAAGAAATGTAAGCTGAATTATACATTGTCCTCCTTTAGTAGCATGGTTCTACCTAGCCTTCCCTTCCAACAGGGCCTCCCTCAGAGAAGCACTGCAAAGATTTGAACCCAGAGGGACAAACAAAGACTAGCCCCAGGGAAACTAAGAGAACAAGCTCAAGGTTCCCAGATCAATTCTCAGTTAATTTGGTGGCCTCAGCCACTCTCACTTAACTTCAGCTGCCCTTCCCTCTCCAAGATGGGGATAATAACCTTGGCCTACCTTTCAGGGTTGCTCTTACAGTGTTATAAAACCATACCTGCAAAGCACTTTGAACACTTCCAGCCAAGAGTTTTGACTTAAGCAGAGGGCATCACTGCTGGAAAACCTGCCAGGCTCTGCTCAGGAGCTCCCATCTGCGCACTTCACATTTCTAAAGGACTTACACCGGTAGGCCAGAAAAGCTTTGCAAGATTTGTTTGATCTGTAACCTCCCTTGGTTTTGTCAGGGGAAAGAGAAGGGGACGTGGGCCCTAAGGAGAATCCTACCCTTGGCTCAGGGATCCCGAGCATCCATTTGCCAGCAACAGGCCTTCCTTCCCTTCCTAAAGGAGCAAACACCTTCCAGGCGACCCTTACACACACACTCATACCAGGAACCTCCATGACACATCCTGACACAATCATAGAGTGCTGCTTCCAGCCAGCTGCCCAGGCCACCTCAGTGGCCAGCAATGCTTCAGACTTCCAGGAAAGCTGTTTGAGTCAGCCCTGAGTCAATGCACCCAGAAACAACCCACAGCTCAGCTTCTAGCCAAAACCAAGGTGCCACCAGGAAGAGTGAGCCAGCGAGGAGCGCTTGACAGCCTCCCAACAGCCTGGCACCCAGTCACTACAAGGGACCCAAAGGCAGTCACCAATGAAACAGAAGAAGCGGCCTCTGCCGAGAAATATAGAGGAGACAGAACTTGATGGCTGACCACCCATAAAAAAAGACTGTTGCATAACAGACTGTCTGCAGTACTCACAGTACTATAGAATCACACCCTTCAAGAACCAGTGAAATCAATGGGCTTGGAAAGCTATAACTCTGCTTAGGATGGTAACGTGAGCTTGTCTGAATTGGCTGAATCGAAGAACCCTGAACTGACTTGTCTGAATTAAAGAACCACGAAGCACAGCAGCAGCAGGAGTGATGAGAGTCTAGCAAGGATGTGGAACACCCCCCCGCACAACCACTGCACATGACTGGGATTTGGGATCCCAAAAGTTTTACACACACACAACCACTGTATATGACTGGGATTTGGGATCCCAAAAGTTTTGGCTTTTTTATTTTTAAAGCCCCCGGCCTTCATAGCTATGGAGGACAGCTTTAAAGCAATCCAGGAAAAGTCCGCCGACATTCTGTCGCCACACTGAGTTCAGGTAAAGCCTCAGTATAGTTCCTGTGCCACCACACAGCCCCACTCTTACTGTTGTGCCCCTACTTAAAGCGTACTACCTGGGACTCCTCTCCAGGTTCTTCCTTCCTTTATCCTAACCATTGTCAAAAGAAGCCCACCTTCTTTTGGGCCTCTCTGTGGTTACAGAATAAGTCAATAATAAGACTTCATATTCCCATACAGTTTTCGAGTGTGACTAACAATCACCACGTAAAGCAAGCTGCTTATTTATCCTCATATTGCAGACAAGAGAGGGTGGGAGCCCTTGCTTAAGGCCATCCGGTGAGCTGACGGAAGAGGCGTGATTCTTCTTCTCAAAAGGCAGATGCCAGCAAGCGGACAATGTTTATGTTATTGTTTTAATCCAAGCGCCAGGGAGAGAAGGTGAGAGCAGACGTCGCCTTGAACAGACTGAGGAGAGGGGAAGACCACAATCACGGGGGATCCACACATACAAAATGGAAGCCAAGAGGGAGACACCACACAGGCCATGGGCCTTCCTGAGTTTGTGTCCTGGAGCCTAGCAGGTTTCAAATCCCACCACAATGAGGACTAGCAGCTCTCCCTCTTTTGAAACAGAAGTGAGGGAATCAAAACCCCGAGCCCAAATTCTGTGTAGCAGAACCAAAAAAAAGATGAAGCACCCAGATCTTGGATTTCTGACTGTGTAGCAGAACCAAAAAAAAAGATGAAGCACCCAGATCTTGGCACCCTGAGCGGCACAGCTGGCAAAGCAGACACCACAAATCCTTCAGCCATCCCAGTGCAAGCTGCTACAAGCCGCTTCTTCTAGCAAAAGCTGCCAGAAGGCATGCTCCACAACAGGTGCGCCACTGGCTGCCAGCATGCATGCACCTTGCAGAGGTGACTCAGCCACACAGATGCAAAAGGGGCCCTCCAGCTATAGAAAACTCTTTCCCAAGCCTCTTGGAGAAGGAGCTATTAAAGCAATTTGCTTTCCGAGTGTGAACAAATCACAAATAAGAGAACGCCCCAAGATTACTTTGCCTTGAACACCTCCCATCTGTTCATTTGGGCAAACTACAATCGCCAACTGGAATCCTCACCCCCCCCCCATCCTATCCACTCCAGCAAGATGGCCTGGAGAAAAATGGGCTCCTTTGTGCAGAGTAAAGCAACACAAAGCCAGCCATGAAAACCTGACTCACCCCAGCATGAAAACATGCCCCTTGACCTCAGATCCACAAGAGGAGAAGGCTTCAAAAAAGCTGCCGTGCTCTGGACCTTCATCTCAACATGGCAAAGATGAGTCCAGGCTCAAGAGTTGCAGGAACTCACACAACAGCCAAGGAGGAAAGGCATGTTCAATTACACCACTGAAGGCTCCTGCTAACAGCTCTGGGTTTAGTTTCTGGATAACTGAAGAGGGAACATCTGGGCTTGTCCGTCCAAAGGTAAGGATTGACAAACTTGGGGGGGGGGGAGTGTTAATACCCAACACCATTTCATGTTAGGCAGAGCACTCATTTTTGCTTTAATGAATATTCTTATTACATGCTGTTAACCACTTTGGGAACTTATCAAAATGCTTGAATTTTCCAGCCTTAGGCACCAGCCTCACATTTTTAGATTAGTTCCGATAGGGCAAGGCCAGCTGTCATTCAACGCAATTTCTCAGGCCATCAAGAAGCTTTTCGTTCCATCACCCCCACGCTGCTAAGCCTGCTTTCTAGTCCCCCACCTCAAACCTCTTATTTAAAAAGTCACCCCTTCCTACCTCTTCCCTACATCTTGGCTTTACAGCACACTGTTTCTCACACACAGAGCATTTTTAAAAAACAAATTACTTGGCTGGCAGTTAAAAGAAGCAACAGTTTTCCTACAGTTCCCAGGTATCATTAATACATCTTCTGCCAGAAAGCCAAAATTCACAATCTTCCACCTCCAAGGGTAGGGAACGTGCAAATGAGACTTTTGCAGAGAGCAAAGACAGATGCCAAAGGAGCAACCAGAACACACTTTACTAAGAGCAAAACATTTAAGGTGATGTTCTGAGAAACCAGAATTCCACTCCAGAAATCAGATTCACACAGAACTGAGGGTAGGAAACAGCTCTGGTTACTTCCTCCTAGTGATGCACATTTCATTCTCGTGCCTCTGTTTCCTTTCCTGCCTCAGGCTTCTCAGGCCAAGAAAGACCCTCTTGCAGATGAACAAACAGTCCCTCTGCTGCATCTTGTTCCATGTAGCGCCTTATCCCAGCCTCAAACCTGAGCAAAGAGAAGGAAGAGGTACCTGCACCTATCATATAAAGCAAGCCCATACAGACAGGGTGCAAGGAACCTTTGCGGCTGGGACAAAGTTGGAAGCCTCCAGCCTAACTTGGAAACAGAAGAATCATGTTTGGCAAAAGAAAACCAGCTATTCAAAGTATCTCATGCTCACTTCTATTCACCAGCAGCCTGAGGGTGTGAACTCAACAGCTCTCCCAACCACACCCCCTTCCATTCACCTCTTCCTTGACTTAGCCCTTCACCATATCGGACTCTCCCACTCCCTTTCGCCAGCAACATTCACATGGACTCTTAGTATCATGCCAGCTCACCGACTTCCCTTCTAACCAAACTCTCCAACGGGATGCCCCTGTAGGATCCTCCTAAGATCACATTCCTAGCCCCACCACCCCTATATTTTAGCCTATTTTGTCTTATCAGCCCACTCGTCAATCTCCCCAAAAGAAAGGAAAACTCTCCCTAAGCGTCCCACACCTCCCATTTACGACACCTATAAAAGACCCCCCACATCCACAGGCCAGACAGCCAAGCACCCCTCCCGCTAGTCCCACCCCCACTTCCGGTCCCCCAAGAGCCACTTTGGGCCCGCCTGCCTCACCGGCTCTGACAGCCCCCAGCACAGCCCTACGGAGGCCGGGCCTGCCGCCCCCAGCGCCGAACACCACCAGAAGAGAGGACCGCGGAGGGCCCCCGCCGCCGCTTCCCACCGAAGCCGCCATCTTGGTGGGTGCCTGACAGGACCGGCCGCCACCGCCTCTTACGCCACCGCGCGCCGCCTGGCCACGCCCACCAACGCGCGGGCCACGCCCAGTGACGTCACCGCCCACCACTCGGGGGAGAGAGGCGGGGCGGAGGCGGGGCTATGCGCCGGCGGAGTTTTCCCGCGTTGAGCGGGGCCGCCGGGAATGAAAAAGCTGTCGGCGGCGTCCGTGTTTAATTTCTGCAAAAACAGATAGGGGGGGTTTCCAACCGCGCGGGGCAGCCGTCTCGAACAAATTAGAGTTTTGGGTTGTTGTTTTTTCAAGTGAAGGTGCCCCATTAAGAAAGAGTGGGGGAAAGACGCCTCTGAGCATGCACAGAGCGCCTTCCTCCCTCACCCATAGACTGAAGAAACTCCGCGCGAAAAGATTGCCGTCCTCCTTCCCCGAGAGCAGGTCTCTAAGCAAGCTAAAAAATGGGTGTCCACAATAACAACTGGAGCTTTTGAGCATGCGCAGAGGCCCGTAAGATGAAGAAGAAAATTCAAGCAGTTTAAGAAGTTTAATAAGAACAATGGAGTTCTGTTGCTGAACCAACCCGCCCAACAGCCCCACTCCCACAAAAACTCATTTCGCTGGGGGTTGTTTGCGGAAAGTGCTGTTTTTTTATGGTGCTTGGGCTTGGTGTGTTATTTTTCGATTTCGTGTCTCTGGTTTTTTGTTTTTTTTAATATCCATTGCTCTTATCCATGAGTTGCTTATTTAGGTGATGTCTTTGGGGAAAAGGTAAAAGTCGGATCTACATGGATCCTCATGAATTCATATGATTTTTACATTGAAACGAAATAAAACTACCATCATATTCCAGGCCATGTGTTAATCTATAGGGGGCACCACAAAAATCACATCCACAGATTCGTGGCACCACAACAGCGCAAACACATGATTCCAAAGCACGGATCCTCATGAATTCATTTGATTTTTACGCTGAAACAAAATAAAACCACCATCATACTGCAGACCATGTCTTAGACTATAGGCAGCACTTCAAAAATCATGCCCCCATGAATTCGTGGCACGGATCCTCAGGGTTTTTCAATTGAGTAACCTGAAACACACCATCAAATCACATAACACGTCCACGTCCACAGCTTGCACCACAAAAATCACAGATCCACCACCCCGAGGCTCAGAGAGGCAGGGGAACATTTCGTGCCCCTTCCCCCTCTGCCATTGCCGCTGCCATTAGCGCTCCTACCGTCGCTGGCAGCCATAACTTTTTAAAGAGCCCCTAACAAGACCTGGGGGAGCCAGAACGACCTCTCCCGTGTGGGGCAGGAGCCGAGGCTGGACGACCATCTTTCCGGTATGTTGTAGGTATGTAGGGCTATCTTTCAGCTATGCTCCTGCAGAGTGCAGGGGGTTGGACTAGATGACCTGCAAGGTCCCTTCCAACTCTAACATTCTATGATTCTAGAACTGGTCTCAATTTGAAAGGTGGCTGGCTAAAGACTGCTAAGCCCCTTTCCTCTGGTTGCAAATGGAGGCTGTGTGCCAATTGACACATAACAGTGAGCAAGCTTTCAAGCTCCCCGGACCCCACACCAAGCCTCAGCTCCTGCTCCACAGCTCTGGAGCCTCACATTCTGCAGCATGTGTCCAGGCTGTACCACGAGCCCTGCGCCCTTGATGACTAATGGGATTGCCATTGCCTGCCTCTGTGTAATGACCCTGGGCCTCCTTGGTAGTCTCCCATCCAAATACTGACCAAGGTCAACCCTGCTTAGCTTCTGAGATCTGACAAGATTGAGTTAGCCTGGGCTAACCAGGTCAGTTTTTACTGCAGACCTTCCTTATATTTTCTCTTCTCTGGACACTCCCAAGGTTGGTTCCAGGTTCTGGGATTCTGTGGCAAGGCGCTGTTCTGCAGGCTGTCTCCCAGATGTGGCTAGGGTTACCAACTCTGGGCTAGGAAATTCTTGAAGGTTTGAGGAAGGGGTCTGGGAAGGGCTTGGTTTGGGGAGGGGAGCGACTTCAGTGGTGTGTAATGCCATTGAGTCCATCCCAAAGCAGCCATTTTTCAGGGGGAGGGATCTCTGTAGTCTAGAGACCAGTTGTAATTCTGGGAGATCTCCTCCAGTGGGAGGCTGGCAACCCTAGATGTGGCCATGACACAGATACAGAGGACAGGCAATGGCACCTGCTCCCACTTGATTAATGCTCACCAGGGGTCATTTCGTAGAAAATGAGCTAGGGGAACTCATTAGCATAACTAATTAGCATATGCCACACCCCCTGACATCAGGGGGCCGGCGGTGGACCTGCAAGCCAGCGGGAGTGCGAGGAAGCCCCGCCAAGGCCCTCCCTGGCCCCAGGCAGGCAGGGGTGGGGAGAGGCATGGAGGAAGCAACTTACCCTCCCTCTTCTCCTGCCTCCTCCTGGCTGAATGAGGGCTGGAAGCAGGGGGCGTGGCTTCATCATGTGCCCCGCCCCCCTGCACCTCACCCGGGGGAACTGCGTTTCCCCCCGAAATGACCTCTGCCCCCGCCCCCACGAATCTTAACTCTGAGTACTGAACAGGCCACGTAGCTAAGACTGCCAACTCTGGAATGGAAAATTTGTGGAGATTTGGGGGTGGATGCTATAGAGTCCACCCTCCAAACCAGCCACTTCCTCCAGAAGAATGGATCCGGAGGAGAAGAAGAAGAGGAGATTGGATTTATACCCCGCCCTTCACTTGGAGTCTCAGAGCGGCTTACAAACTCCTTTCCCTTCCCCTCCCCACAACAGACACCCTGTGAGGTGGGTGGGGCTGAGAGAACTCTGGCACAAACTGCTCTTTTTCAAGGACAGCTGTGCCAGAGCTTGTGACTGACCCAAGGTCACATCAGCAGGTGCAAGTGGAGGAGTGGGGAATCAAACCCGGTTCTCCCAGATTAGAGTCCGCACACTTAACCACTACACCAAACTGGAGATCAACTGTAATTCCAAGAGAGGTCCAGGAACCACCTGGAGGATGGCAACTCTGCCTGCAGCATCTTCCACCATTCCTTTGAAATAACTTTTATTTGCTAAATGTGGTCACCACTGTGACCTGCTGGGATCCCAGGCTGCATAGTTGCTTAGGAGAAAGCCCCATTGTACGATATGGGGCTTGCACCTCAGGAGGTGGTTTTGGCTCCTGTTTATTGGCACTGACAGGATCTGCCCCTCCCCAGTCTAGAGTTCCCAACTCTGGGCTGGGAAATTCCTGAAGAGGGTAAGAGTCTGGGAAAGGAAGGAAGAAAACTCAGAAAGGATGTGATTCCATGCAGTCCCCTCTCTAAAGTTGCCATTTTCTCCAGGGGAACTGATTTTCTAGAGACCATTAAATGTAGTACTCGCATCTAGTCCAGCATCCCGTCTCACGCAGTGGCCAACAAGTTCCTCTGGAGGTCCAACAACAGGGGAGAAGGGCAGAGGCTTTCCCCTGATTTTGCCCCCTTGCCCTAGTATCCAGAGGTTTACTGCCTCTGAATGTGGAGGTTCCCTTGAGTCACCGCCATCACTTGTTAATTCCAGGAGACCGCCAGGCCCCACCTGCAGGTTGGCAAGAGAGCAAGAATGCAGCCAGGAATAGCTTGCTGAACGGTAAACTTTATTGAACAATGCAAAAGTTTAAAACCAGAGCAAAAACAGCAATCGAGGATCTGACCACTGATCCTGAGCAAACATGGTTTCCCCCCCACAAAAATGAGGTCCGGGACCTGAGGAAGCCCCCACACCAGGACTACAGGTGTGATGGGAGCTCCCAAGCCCAGTTTCGATGATAACCACAGAGTGGGGGAAACTGCAAACGCAGGGGAGAGCAGGCTGAAGCTACTTCTACCCACACACCACTGGCGCAATCAAGACTGGACCTACAGACCTCCCATCAACCTGACACAAAGTCCTTCTGGCTGCACGGGGACTTTGTTTGAAGCCAGTTTAGGCAATACTATCTACGGCTGACGCTAGGGGCTCTTTGGAGTGCTTGCTACCGGTCATCAAGCTGCCCACAGATCAGGCCTCAGACCCAGCGGTTGACTTTTCTTTCTCCTGCCCTCTGGCAGCTCCCTTCTTGGCCTTCGTCTTCCCCTTGGTGCGGCCTGCTTTGGTCTCACTGGCAGCCCTGCTTTTGGCAATGGCCCCCTTGGGCACAGCATCCCCCCCTTTGGCTTTTCCATCCGGCGGTAGCTTGGATTTCACCTTGGCCTCCGGAACGCCTTTCAGCTCCGCCTTCGTCTTGGGGAGGCCTTTCTTTGGACCGCTGGCCGGTTCTGCCTGAGAGGTCTTTGGCACACTTTGCCCCTTGGTAGGTTTTGCAGCTTTCTTACCAGAGGCTTTTGCCTTTGGCTTCTTCCCAGAAACTGTGGCTCCACCCTGTGAGAAGAATCCAACTGTCACCACCACATCACTTGCAAGCTCTCGAGACAATGGTGTCCAGCATTATCGGGCGCTTGTATCTGCAGCTCGACTGCAGAAACACATATATCTCTG